GGGCTGTTATTTGTCTCTGTGTTTGACATTTTGCCTACAGAGTGCCCTCAGACGTAATACTACGCATCAGAAAAGGTGACATTCTTTGTCTAATCCTTTAATATCTTGATGGGTTGCACACGCTTTTGGATACATACACAATGGTCACTTGTTCAAAGTGAGGGTTGAGTCAGGGAATGAATCATAAAAATACACATCTTACCATGCTAAAAAGGTTCCCTGATACCATGGTGCTGATAAATTGAATTCTACACTATTCCTATTGACAGATTTTACAAATCTGCCCCATTAACATATATGTAGATCTCACTCCATACATGAATGTGAATGATATTTATATTAACAGCAGCATTATTCCTCTGAACGATTTGCAAAGAAATCAGAGATGATAAAGAAGCCACACCATAAATAAGATAGAGCCAAAAATATAAGGAAGGGCAAAGGAGTCACAAAAAACTGAACTGATGCTCAATTTAGGCCAGACCCTGTTCTGTCCTGTACACAGACACATGGGAGTAACCAGGTATAAAGTGCTTCCTTGTGCCAGCAACCAACACCACCATTCACAGGGCAAGAGGGGACGCACACTCTGCACAGCGTCTACGTTCCCAGGCTGAACAAGAGATGGGAGGACAGCCTTCCCCGCTACAACTCACAGGTCAGCAGAGCTGTCCTGATGCATCAGTAACTGCGTGCTGCACTGGATATTGACTTGGAGAACTTTACTACTTCTCCAGAGCAGTAAGGAAACCAGGAGGGAGATTGTGAATCCTAGAGTTACACTATTTCCTAGGCAACTCCAGAAAAACACAACCGTATGCAGCCTCATTGCTCAGAGCAGACTGAAAGCTTATCACATATTTATAATAATAAAATAATAATTAATAATTAATAAATATAAATCACCTTCAGCTGAGATACTAGGGGTTCTGTACAGCTGAAATATAAAACCTACCAGCCACAAGAGAAGATTAAACCAGATCATGTAATAACCACAAAACTAATTTTTTTTTTAAGTAACAAATCGTTAAAGTTCCTCTTCCTCTCCAAGTGCAATTTTTATTTTTAGTAATAACCAGAGAGAGAGAGAATGAATGGCTCTATAGCCAGTGCTCATGGCATTCACCTGAGGGGAGGACAGCCAGGTTCCAGTCCCTGCTCCAATGAAAATTTAAATTATTTATACAAAATAGAACAGCTTCAACAGAAGAGACAGAGAAACCCATCCCAGAATACCAAATATCCCAGTGGTTAGGCACTCACCTGGGATGAGAGATTTGGGTTCAAGTCCCTACTCCAGAGCAGATGTGGTATTCAAACCACATCCCAGGTAAGTGCCTTGGGCTATTGAGTATAAAGGAGTTACTGCCACCATCTCCTCCTCGGTTTGGTGAAAAACTGAAACATGTCAAAGCAAACTGTTTCAATGTTTCCAAATTTTTTCTTTCCGACCAAAACAATCCACCAGAATGGACCCGAGTTCACTAAATGTTTCAGTGGACCCAAATCTGCATTTTTCAGAAAAAGAAGATTCAGCCAAAAAAAAAAAATTCACACAGCTGTAGTCTCCACATTGTTTTGGAGGGGAAAATAATGACAGAGAAAAAAGCATCCTGGCCCTAGAGTCCACTTGCTCTGCCACTACACATCAGGAACCCCATCAACTAAGGCCTGGTCTACACTAGGCGTTTATGTCGAAGTTAGCGCCGTTAAATCGAATTAACCCTGCACCCGTC